CTACCGCCTTAGAACCTCGGCCACCGTCTTAGAGCCTCGGCCACCGTCTTAGAACCTCGGCTACCGTCTTAGAACCTCGGCTACCGTCTTAGAACCTCGGCTACCGTCTTAGAACCTCGGCTACCGTCTTGGAGCCTCGGCCACCGTCTTAGAGCCTCGGCCACCGTCTTAGAACCTCGGCCACCGTCTTAGAACCTCGGCCACCGTCTTAGAACCTCGGCCACCGTCTTAGAACCTCGGCCACCGTCTTAGAACCTCGGCCACCGTCTTAGAACCTCGGCCACCGTCTTAGAGCCTCGGCTACCGTCTTAGAGCCTCGGCCACCGTCTTAGAACCTCGGCCACCGTCTTAGAACCTCGGCCACCGTCCGTAGATGCACATTGTTGTGAGGCAAACGGCGACTCGCTATTTTTCAAATGCCGGTGTAGACATCGGTGCAGATGGTGTTTGATAACAACAGCAAGGCACGAACGAAGAGGGTGTGGGGGGGGGGAAGGGGGATAGGAGAAAGGGAAAAGAAAGGGGTGTGTGTGGAGGGGGGGGGAAACAACAACAACAACAGCCTGGTTGACTTTGTTGAACCAACAGTATCATTTGCTCTTTAGCAGACTTCCTGCATCTGTCCAAGCAAATATTTGTAGCGCGAGCCGCCTATTCAAGGCGAGGCTGATACTATTGTACCACCAACGGTGCAAGTGTTGTTGCAAAGAACGCCAGGAATAACACGGCGAGGAGACCCCAGGAGGGAGAGGAGTGTGAGGCATCGGGTGGAGTTTTAGTGTTGCTGTTGCGTTAGCAAGTAGGGATGAACGCTGTACTGTGCAACAAAAAAAGCCCAGGTTTCCAATGGTCTTAAATGCTAGGTTTCCACTGGACTTTAACGCCAGGTTTCCACTGGACTTAAACGACAGGTTTCCAATGGACTTTAACGCCTGGTTTCCAATGGACTTTAACGCCAGGTTTCCACTAGACTTTAACGCCAGGTTTCCAATGGACTTAAACGCCAGGTTTCCAATGGACTTTAACGCCAGGTTTCCACTGGACTTTAACGCCAGGTTTCCAATGGACTTAAACGCCAGGTTTCCAATGGACTTGAACGCCAGGTTTCCAATGGACTTTAACGCCAGGTTTCCAATGGACTTAAACGCCAGGTTTCCAATGGACTTGAACGCCAGGTTTTCACTGGACTTTAACGCCAGGTTTCCAATAGACTTAAACGCCATGTTTCCAATGGACTTAAACACCAGGTTTCCAATGGACTTAAACACAACATTTCAAATAGACTTAAACGACAGGTTTCCATTAGACCTAAACGACAGGTTGCCAATGGACTTAAAACGCCAGGTTTCCACTGGACTTAAAGACAGGGTTCCAAATGAATTAACCGCCACGCTTCCCACTGACACCCTCCCACGACGAGACACCTTCATTCGCACAGCACCGCAACCGAACTCCATGCCTCACTGTTTTATCCATCCATGCCCTATAGCTGGAGCGGAAGCTTTGCACGTAGATGACTTTCTGCGAGATCAAGCTTAGGATGACGTCACCATTCTCAAAAATATAAAAAAAAACACTGAATAAGAAATACGCACTGTCGTCTGCTGGGAGTTCTGATTGTTTACACAGGAAATATTGGCATAACTAGAGCGATCCACCCACTTTCCGATGTTTACCAACTCTGCAAAGATCGGGAATGGCCGGTGTATCAAAACGAAACCGGAAGCCGCTTTTTTTTTATTTATGGTGTAAAGTGCGAGCTGTAAACGGTTCTATATCATTCCGCCGGTTGTGAAAATATTAGTTAAAATGCTGCATTGTTCGAAAGTTTGGAAGTGTATGTTTGTAGCAAGTTCTTTGAAAATGTATGCAAGCGCTTTTAATTTACATAATCATAAAGTGCATTGCACACTTGCAAGAGTATACCTAAATTTTAGCTATTTAGCTATGTATTGCAATAGCTATTTATAAAATAGAGGTTTTAATTTAAAAAATGTGATTATAAGTTAAGATTCTTTTATTTATCCAAACACATGGAAATTTAAAAAAAAAAACAAAAACAAAAAAAAACAACAACAACAAACTATTGGTTCTCTTTTAGTATAAAAGTTAAGGGGACCCCCGACATACACAAATCTTAAATTTAACAATTTTCCAAATTGATGAATTTTCCCCCCCCCCCCCTTTTTTTTTTTCCTTCAATCAACAGCATTACATAAATTCCAGCTGTATTTGTTTTCTTTTTATTAAACTCCAGTTTTCATAAAGTTATCGATCGTTCTCTCCTTTACGCTCAGTGCGTTGGGGTCACCGGCTAATTTAATACTCCGGTAACGCGATGATTTAGTGATTGGCCAGATGTTTACATTCAACATCCGGGCACGCGCCTTGTTTTCTCGACTTTGTTGCAGGAGAGCGGCATTACAAGGAAATGTCACTCAGGTGGAAACGAAAGGAAGACAACTTTACCCTCATCTCAGGTGCAGGCTGCGATCGGTCAACTTGGTTTTTTTTTTTTTTTTTTTTTTTTTTTTTTTTTTTTTTTTTTTTTTTTTTTTTTAATGGATACATCTAGTGATTGGTCACCGTCATGTTGCCTGCTAAAATGTGGCCAGATTTTGAGAGAAGTAAAAGTTCAGTTGATTTCCGTACATGATTTTTTTTTTTGGGTGGGGGTCGTATCTTCCAGAGATGTTCAGGTTTGATATTTGTATTTAATTTGTGATTACGTCACTGGTTAGAATTACTTGAAATTTTCTAAATATATGGATATGATGTTATACATTTTTAATGGTTTAGAATAGTACAAAATAATATCATCTTTGGTGAAAAAAAATTTTTTATAAACAATAGCATCTTTAGATAAAATATTAATGAAGTATTAAAAGTTTAAGGTTAAATGAGGTTAAACTCCAATGAAGTTCAGGAAATAAACGTAATTAATGAACTACCATCTTAGTAACACATAAGGAATAATTTAAATAAATAATAATAAATAAGGATGGTGTGCAGGGTGATCGTATTAATAGTACACTTAAAACGCATTAGGCCCAGGCTCGTGACTCGTGTGAGGAAAGTGAAGCAATAGCCTGGAGTGTATTTTCTAAACAATGGAGCCATTAACTGTATGCAAATATATATCAATTATTTAAAGTTTCTTTTTTTTTTCTTCTTTTTTTTTTTTTTTTTACAAATTTTTAGGCACGAT